ATGGCGTTTCTGTGTAGAAAGGTTAAATTTTGGTTATGGTTCAGTGTATTTAAGTGATATATCTTATTCCCTGATACTTTCTCCTGGTACCGTTACATGGATTCTATGGAGGGTGAGCAACGCCGATAGCAGAAATTTGATTTAAAATTTCATATGGAGATTGCCGTTATGTTTAAGGGCGTGAGATGTCCCACTGTTGATAACATGATACAGATATTACAGAGAATGATTGCTGTAATATTAAGAAGCATAGTATGTACCACTATTAATGATATAGTTTGATTAACTTCGCCAAACACAAATTAGTATTAAGCATCAGACACGAATTTTCATGAGGGTCGACAGAGGCAGAGGATATATAATAGTTAATACTATACTTATTAATAGCTATAGTTATTAATATATACTATAGATACTATACTTATTAATAGCTATAGTTATTAATATGTACTACAGATACTATACTTATTAATAGCTATAGTTATTAATATATACTATAGATACTATACTTATTAATAGCTATAGTTATTAATATATACTATAGATACTATACTTATTAATAGCTATAGTTATTAATATATACTATAGATACTATACTTATTAATAGCTATAGTTATTGATATATACTATAGATACTGTACTTATTAATAGCTATAGTTATTAATATATACTATAGATACTATACTTATTAATAGCTATAGTTATTGATATATACTATAGATACTATACTTATTAATAGCTATAGTTATTGATATATACTATAGATACTATACTTATTAATAGCTATAGTTATTAATATATACTATAGATACTATACTTATTAATAGCTATAGTTATTAATATATACTATAGATACTATACTTATTAATAGCTATAGTTATCAATATATACTATAGATACTATACTTATTAATAGCTATAGTTATTAATATATACTATAGATACTATACTTATTAATAGCTATAGTTATTGATATATATATGATACTATACTTATTAATAGCTATAGTTATTAATATGTACTATAGATACTATACTTATCAATAGCTATAGTTATTAATATATACTATAGATACTATACTTATTAATAGCTATAGTTATTAATATGTACTATAGATACTATACTTATCAATAGCTATAGTTATTAATATATACTATAGATACTATACTTATTAATAGCTATAGTTATTAATATGTACTACAGATACTATACTTATTAATAGCTATAGTTATTAATATATACTATACTTATCAATAGCTATAGTTATTGATATATACTATAGATACTATACTTATTAATAGCTATAGTTATGAATATATACTATAGATACTATACTTATTAATAGCTATAGTTATTGATATATACTATAGATACTATACTTATTAATAGCTATAGTTATTGATATATACTATAGATACTATACTTATTAATAGCTATAGTTATTAATAATACTATAGATACTATACTTATTAATAGCTATAGTTATTAATATGTATACAGATACTATACTTATTAATAGCTATAGTTACTAATATATACTATAGATACTATACTTATTAATAGCTATAGTTATTGATATATACTATAGATACTGTACTTATTAATAGCTATAGTTATTAATATATACTATAGATACTATACTTATTAATAACTATAGTTATTAATATATACTATAGATACTATACTTATTAATAGCTATAGTTATTAATGTATACTATAGCTATAGTTATTGATATATACTATAGATACTATACTTATTAATAGCTATAGTTATTGATATATACTATAGATACTATACTTTTATTAAGAATAGCTATAGTTATTAATATGTACTACAGATACTATACTTATT